CGGTGTCGCCGCCGGGTGCCCGGCGCCGCGCAGGTGCGCGGGCAGGTGCGGCCGGGCCCGCGCGCTCGCGCTTGTCCTGGCGCCGGCGGTAGCCCCGAGGAGGGAGAGGGGAAGGGATGAAGCGCCTCGGGCGCTCTCCGTGCCCGGGAAGTGCACGCGGAGCAGCCGAGACGCGGTCGGGCACTGTGTGAGCAGGGGCTCCTGGTCCCACGAAATTGCAGGTACGGAGGGTATCGGCTCCATCCGTCTTTGACAAAGTAGGAGATGTCGCTCATGCCTGGCAGGGGGAATGGCCGCGGACTAGAGGTGCCCTTGAGYGCAGGGCAAAAGTTAGTGAGGGGCAGCATTCGCACCCTCTGGTTTTCCCACAGATCCTGGGCGCTTGCAACAGTCACGACGGCRCTTCCCGCCACCCCTAAACCCACACGCCGGCTCCATGGGGAGCAAGGGCACGTGGAAGTGCAGGCACCTCTGCGTGCGCGCTGCTCAGGGGCACAACGGCGCGGCGTTGTCCAGCGCGCGACGCAAGCGCGGCCGTGTCCCCGCGAGGTGCAAAAGCCCCCATTATTTGTCGCTGCCATCCTCAATAGAGGTTTGGCAGGGTGAATTATACCAAGGCAGCTTTCTTACCCRTACATTTGCATGTGGCACATACCCTTTACGGCTTATTCTCACAGTTTTTCTGCAAGTTGCCATCAATCACGTAAAGTTTGTGGCCGCCTCAGCCCGTTTTGCATGTRTTTTATCTGCTTTTTGTCCAAAGCTTACCTTTAACTGTATGTCATCTACTGGGACGTATTTATTAATGCTCAAATGTAGACAGAGGATCAACATTTGATAAATGCTGAACTGTGATAAAAAGTACAGTGTGTGTTCTGGTTGCTAACAGCTCCGTATTAAATTGTTCTGTAAACTATCTAACATGTGCTGAAGACTGCTCCCTGAGTATAGAGCTAACTTCTCTGCCAGTGAAAATCCAAGGCTTCTCACTGTATATCACTCACCTTTTTTTTTTTTTTTTTTTTTTTTATGCTCAATTGATAAATTTAGTCATCAGAATGGGCAAAATTTTGAAATTGGAATTTATTTTGTGTGCAGGGCAAAATTTTAAATGCTACAATTTATGGTCTTTAAATAATGATTTATTCTGTCTCAAAGTGCAGACTAACTGCACTTAACTAATTCACGCATTCTGATTTAACTGTGTTATGTAGCTTGGAAAAAGATCCTTGAAGACTTGGGCTGAGTTCGTAGGAGGAATCTTGTGAGTGTTTCAGTATTGTCTCTGCACGGCGTCCCTGTGAGTTCTTGTTTTCTCCGTGATCAACGAAATAACAGGACTCAAACTGTGGTTTAAGGAGAAAATAAAAAAACAAAACAAAACGTGAATTTTATCCTTAGGGTAGCTTGATTTCTCTTTTTACCTTTTTCATTTGGAGAAGGGTTTTCCTCGAATGGTACAGCCCACAGACACACGATGAAGGGTTGTACGTCTCCCCAAAATCGTAATAAAGGCCTGTACTAATGAGCTGCTGAGCAACTCTTGTTAGTGAGCTCTGTCAATTCACCCTGAAGTCGATGGGAATTGAGGATGCTTGGCATTCGCAGGCTGTGCTGAATACCTTACTGGATTGGGCCCTATATCATCAGGTATATATCTGTATATATATATATAATATATATATTTAGAAGGGTGGCTTTTCTGTTTCATGCTAAAGACCGGCTTGTGCCATTTGGAACTAAATAAGGTTATAATGCTTGCTGCTTCTTGTGGAACAATACTAACAAAGTGGCTTTTAATGCATAAATAGTCRCTAATTATTTCTGCCTTATTTCAAGTTCTTTTACTGCGTACCTTAACTAAAGGAATTAGGTATCTCTCTCCAGAAAACTTGTGTCAAAACCATCCAAAAAGGTAGCTACTTTTCCCTTAACCCAATGAAATGATTTTAGCTCTGAACAGCTCTATGATACATAAATGTATCTGGATTTTAACTGGTTTTGTGTGCAGTGCTGTTGACAAAAATAATTTGCGCCTCGCGCTCCCTGGCAGATGCTGGAGAGCCCTGCCCAGCACAGCGCTTTAGAATGAAAGATCTAAATATTTCTATTAGCAGAAGCGTGTTAAATTTCTTGCGTAGTATTGGCATAGGGGCTGAAATCAGCCAGCCAGACACTTGACCAAAGAAAGGAGTTGGCTCACAGAAAGACAGGAACAAATTCGACTCTCTCAGCCAGTATCTCCTCGAGTTCATCAATGGGCTGGCTTCAAGTTCAGTGCTTCGCTACGATATTTTTGACGGTTGTTTCCTATCAGTTGGGCACCAAGAGCTTGAGGTCCTTAGCCCGTGCCCTTCCAGACTTGTGGAGTAGGAAGAGTTTAAATATAAAGCTCCTTTCTGTCTTGTAGAGGTATGAATTAATCTAAGAGAAAACCATCAGGCTCTGTGTAGATCAGGATGAGTTTAAAAAAATGGTTTGCAGAAACTGATTGCTTTACAGTGAGTGCAGTTAAATGCCTGACATCGCATGCCATGCTAGCTGCAGCCTTGGGAACGGGAGCGCTTTGATACCTAGAAATCTGTTTCCAGCATATGTATTGATGTATATCTAATGCATAGAAAATAAATCCACATGTGTAGATGCTGAGCTATTTAGAAGCTATTTGTAGTTGTATTTAAAGTTGCATTTAATCAAATTGCTTTCAACAAAAGTTTTGAAAGTAAGACATTATTCACCATTACTTTTAATCAAATCTCCTTAAACAAAAGTTTTGGAAGCAAATTTGTAAAGGAAATTCTGCAAACTGTGTTTTTTGGGGGGAACTTAGCAAGGTACTGAGGCCCTTATTGCATTTTTGAAGTACACGGGAATGGAAAATGTTCGGCTTCTTTTAAGAGAAAGACGTATCTTGCAAGTTAAGGCCTGAGATGTGGGGAGTGAATTTAACATAAACTATGCTTGGCAGGTAAGGAGTATCAGAAGTGACATGCAAAGTAAATTTAACCTTCACAAATTTAAAGCTCTGTAACTCAGAAATGCTGCTCTTAAAGATTTCTGTGTAGATATTGACAATCTGATCTGCCCTTCTAAATATATATTTCTGGACAGCTGTACAGAAACAAGATGTGCAAGATGTGGCTTTGAGACAATATGCGGCCCAAGTGCTGGTATTATGTAAAGGACATGAACTTCCTAATTTTTTTTTTTCCCCGAGAGTTCCCTATTTATCCACTTCCAGTTTAATCAGTATCAAGGTCTGCCTGTCACATCTGGGATTTTACACGCTGCCCTATGTGGCATTCTCCTTTCCTTGAGACGCCAGTTGGTCCCTCCTCAACCGCAGCGCTAAGCGGCCGCTCGATCCCCGTTTGGCTCCGCGGTATTTCCCAAATTCAAGATCAGAGCGGGCAGCACGGGGAGTGCAGGATTGCGCCAGGGCTGCAGGCAGATGCCACGTATGGCTTTGGAGGCCAAGGGGTGCTGGGCAGCGGGCGGGCATCGCTCGGGAGCGCCTCGTGCTGCTGGCGTCGGCGGAGGCAGGAGCGGGGAGCAGCTGGCGGCGCGGGAGAGGGGCGCGGGCGCCGGGAGGCAGGATGCGTGGCAATGACCTCCCCGCGCGGCGCGGGACAGGCAGCTTCCTGAGCTGCCGGCTCAAGGGTACGGCCAGTCCTCGCCCTCCCCACGTGCGTGYCCTTGGGGGGCGCTGGGCCAGGGGGGCGGAAACGGTGTGCAGGCACCTGCAACCTCCTGGGAAATGTGCAGGACTTGAAACCTCGCATGAGATTTTCCGTGCGGGTCTGGGAAGGTGCTGCTGCATCTTAAGGGTAGTTTGACTACAAAAACAGGGAGGATAAGCATTAAAGTTTTGGTGCTATTCCCACCACCCTCTTCTCCACCACCACCCCCTGGCCCTGGACAATATTATCTTTAACCAAAATGCCTTTAGAATATTTTGCGTGCAGCAAGCAAGAGCTCTTACAGTTATCTTGCAATTAGTTTATATCACTTTCAAATGAGTGGAAGGTCAACCTTGACCCTGCATTGTAGCAAGCCAAGATCGCCTGCCTAATACCTCCCGTGACTGCGCTCGGGTGTCTCCCCTGTCCCCCTCCCGGAGAGCTTGGCTTTCTGCTTACGAGAAGACTCCTTCCAAAAATCCAACTCTTCCAATTTATTGTAAAAGAAAATCCTAACTGCAGAGCCCGCTTCTGCCCCCTGAAAACTCCTTTTGCATTAACTTGAAGGAAAACAGGAGAGCGTCTTTTACGGCACGTCCTTCCAAGCAGGGCCGAATTCTGTCCCTGGCACTCAGCAGGGTTTTGCGGCTGGAGCAGTGCCCTGGGCTCCAGGGGAATTGCATGTGGAGGGTGATGCTCCCTCGGGTGCAGGTGATGGGATTGGGCCCCTGCAATGTCACTCCTCATTATTTTATTAGCCTCA